GGAGGGGCGGGAGAAGGGAGGGCGCCGCCGCCGCCGCCATGTTTGTTAAGGGCAACAACCGGGGCGGCCTTGCTCCGCCCGCGCCGCGGCGCCGGGAGAGGCGGAGGAGGAAGCGAACGAAGGGGAGGGAGCGGAGAGGCGGGAGGGCGGCGGTTCTGCCCGCGGCAGCGCTGGCGGAGCGGCGGGAAAGCCGAGGGCCAACCTCTTCCTCTGCCCGGCACAAAGATGGCGTCGCCCCGAGGGGCGGCCCTGAGGCGGGCGTGGGCGGGGCTTGGCAGGGCGTGGTCCCGGTGTCACCTGGGTGGGCGGGGCTTAACAGGGCGTGGTCCGCTTGTCACCTGAGTGGGTGTGGCTTGGGTGCGCATGGCTGGGTGTCACCTGAGTGGGCGGAGCTTGGCAGGTCTGACCCCTTTGTTACCTGGTGGCTTCATCAGGGCAGAACCCATTGTTACCCGGGTGTAACCCATTGTTAATAGGGTGTGGCCTGTTGGCCCCTGAGTGGGCGGGGCTTAACAAGGCGTGGCCATTGTCACCTGGGTGGATGGGACTGACCAGCTGTTTCCTCCCTCCTCCCCCAGCACCTGTCCCTGTGTCCCCCCAGTTTGACCCCCCCTCCAATTCCAGTTGCACCCCCCGAGGGGCTCAGCCGTGTTCCCCCGTCCCTGCAGCCCCCCAAGGACAGGCTCCTCCCAGGATCAGCTCCTCCTTTATTGGCAACCCCGGGACAGGGCCGTGTCCCCCCCTGCAGCCCCCCAAGGACAGGCTCCTCCCAGGATCAGCTCCTCCTTTATTGGCAACCCCGGGACAGGGCCGTGTCCCCCGTCCTGCTGTCCCCCCGCAGTCAGGTCACCACGTCCCCCCGTCCCCCTACACGTGGGTCTCCCGCACCAGCAGCTCCGCGGTGGCTCCGGGCTCGGGGGGGTCCCAGGAGGGGCTCCCCTCCCCCTCCAACCTCTCTGGCAGCGCCCGGGAAGCTCCAGCCTTGTCCAGGGGCTCGTCCCCGGGGCTCCTGCCCCCCGGGGGGAACCCCGAGGGCGCGTTCCTCACGATGTCCCACCACAGCACCCCCGGGGGCCGCTGCCTCTGCCGGGTGGGCCCTGCCGGGAATGGGGGGTCAGGGAGGGGGTGCAGGGATGGGACCCCCCCACGCCGGGTCATGGCTCCCCCCCAGGCTCACCTGGCAGGGAGCTGAGCAGGACCCCCACCCCCACCGTGCTGAGGGTCCCCAGCGCCCCGTAGTACAGGTAGGACATGGAGTAGAAGTCACCCAGGATGGCCGGTCTGTGGGGGGACACGGGGACAGTGGTGTGACGTCACAGCCAGCGGGGACGGTGGCGTGACGTCACAACGGACAGGGAAAGGGGCGTGACATCAAAAGGAACAAAGGAAGAAGTGTGACATCATAAGGGATGAGGGAAGCAGTGTGACATCATAAGGGACAAGGGAAGCAGTGTGACATCATAAGGGATGAGGGAAGCAGTGTGACGTCATAAGGGACAAAGGAAGCAGTGTGACATCATAAGGGATGAGGGAAGCAGTGTGACATCATAAGGGACAAGGGAAGCAGTGTGACATCATAAGGGATGGGGAAAGTGCTGTGACGTCACAGGGGAAGCAATGTGACGTCATAAGGAAAGTGGTGTGACATCATAAGGAACAGGGACAGCAGTGGGACACCGAAAGGGACAAAGTAGGCACAGTGATGTCATAAGGAATGACGGAAAGCATCCTGACATCCCAAGGACAGCAGTGTGACGTCAGAAGAACAGGGACAGCAGTGTGACGTCACACGGGACAGGGAAAGCACTGTGACACCACAACAAGCCACCCACCTCCCCAGCCACCCCCCGGCCACCCCCTCTCACCGTGTGGGCTCGGGGGGGTGCCCGGGGGGGCCGAGGGGCGCGGGCAGGGCGGTGCCGTTGGCGTCGGTGCCATTGCGGGGGGGGCAGAGGGTGTCGAAGCTGGGCAGGACCCCCATGGTGGCCGCGCTGGGGGGGTACAGGGTGGCCCCCACGGCCACCCAGAGGGACAGGGCAAAGCCAGCGGCCAGGCCCCCCAGGACACCCTGCGGCACAGGAGGGGGGTCTGCACGGCCCAGGGGGGGCTGGAATGGACCCAGAGACACCCCTCCCAAAATCCCCCTCCAGACTCACAGCCAGGCTGCAGAGCGGCAGGACCCCAGAACCCCCCGCCCCAAAATCCACCCACCTCTCAAAATCCCCAGGCTCACAGCAGGAACATGCCCAGGACCCAGAGTGCCCCCCCCAAAAAAATTCCCACTCCCCAAAATGCTCCCCCAGGCACGGTTCTGCTGCAGAGCTGCAGGATGCAGAACCCCTCCCCTCCCCAAAATCCCCCCGCCCAAAATTCCCCCTTCCAAAATCCCTGGACTCGGAGCAGGAACATGGCCAAGACCACAGAGTGAACCCCGCTGAAAATTCCCCCTCCCCAAAATCCTCCCCCCTACTCCTGGCCATGCTGGAGAGCATGTCCCCAAAATCCCCCTCCCCAAAATCCCCCCGAGCCCCCCCCTCCCTTCACAGCCGTGCTACAGAAGGGCAGGGACACAGCCAGGACCCCAGAGAGCCCCCCCCTCCCCAAAATCCCCCCCCAAATCCCCCCCACTCACGGCCGTGCTGCAGAAGGGCAGGAACATGCCCAGGACAAAAGCCCCCAGCAAGGGGCCGCTGATCACCCCCATCACCGTGAAGGAGCCCTGGGGGGGGGCACAGCTCCGGTGGGGGGGCTCAGGAGCGCTCAGGGGGGCCTCGGGGGGAGCAGGGGGGTGTTTGGCTCTGCCCCAGCCCCTCCACCTCGAGGGCTCTCCGGGTGCCAGCGGCGCGTGGCCGAGTCCTGCCCGGCCGGGCAGAGCCAGCACGGGGGGGCTGGGGGGGCTCGGGGGGGGTTTTGGGGTGGGTTAAGGGTGACCTCGGCCCCCCCACTCGGGGCTGGGGTCAGAAGGGGGGGGTGTCTCACCTGCAGGACGCCCCCCCCCAGCAGAGAGGACAGAGCTGCCACCGTGATGCACGAGGTGCCGTAGGTGAGAGCTGTGGGGAGACGGGAGAGGGTCGGGATGGGGTGGGATGGGATGGGAGGGGTGGGATATGGTGGGATGGGATGGGATGGGATGGGATGGGATGGGATGGGATGGGATGGGATGGGATGGGATGGGATGGGATGGGATGGGACGGCATGTCCCGGGGGGGGGGGGGGTAGCGTGGCAGGGCCTGGCACAGCACAGCACATGCCAGGCTGGGGTGGCAGGGCCTGGCCGGGGGCACTCACAGAGCCCCTTGGAGATGAGCGTGAGCTTCCTGGGGGACAGCGAGGGCAGCCGCGGCTTCACGAAATCCTCCACGGTGACGGCGGCCATGGCGTTGATGGAGGTGGAGGCCGTGCTGGGGGCGGGGGGCATCGCTCAGCCCTGACTCCCACGGGGGGAGCAGGGGGGGCACCCCCTCCCCTGGGGACCCCCGTGCTCACCTGAGGGTCCCACTGTAGGCACAGGCCAGGAACAGCCCCGGCACCCCCGGGGTGGTCTCGAAGATGTCCAGGACCAGGTAGGGCATGTACTGCAGGGGGAGGGGGCTGCAGGACCCCGGGGCAGGACCCCAGGGGACCTGAACACCCTCTTCTACCCCGCTGCCCTCAGGGGGTGCTCAGAGGAGCAGGATCCCAGGGGATCCCAAGACCCCCTCTGACCCCCTCACCCTCCCACCCTCCTGCCTTGGGGGGTCCTCGAGGGGCTGGCATGAGGGGGACCACAATGCCCCCTTCAACACCCTCGTCCTCCCACCCTGTTGCCCCCGGGGGTCCTGGAGGGGCCGGTACCTGGTCGGGGGCAGCGATGGCACCGGTCAGGAGGGGGTCACAGTCCTTGTAGAGGGCAAACATGACGAGGCCACAGGCGACCGCGCTGGAGACGATGCAGAACAGCCCCACTTGATTCACCAGCAGCGCCCTGTGAGCACGGGGAGGGGGGTGAGGAGGGGGCCCCGCTGGGTGTGGGGGCCGGGCAGGGCTGCAGGGGCTGTGCAGGGGTGCCAGGTTCACACAGGGTCTGTTCAGGGGTGTATGGGGGTTCATATAGGGCCCGTGTAGGGTCTGTGCAGGGGCACAGGGTCCATGTAGGGGTACAGGCACCAGTCTGCCTTAGGGGACAAACTCACAGAGCGGGATCCAGACCATCCCAGCCCCCCTGGACTCACATCTTGGCCTCCCTCTCGGTCCTGCAGGCCACGTAGCGCTGCACTTGGGCCTGGTTGACGCCGTACATGGAGAGCCAGACCAGGGTCCCGCCCAGCAGGAAGGTCCACACCGTGTACCGGCTCCGCGGGTCCGGGTTGAAGCTGGGCACGGTGGCACAGTGCCAGGGTGAGGGGTGGGCTGGGCTGGCACCAACACCCCCCCGGCGCCCTGGGGTGAGGGGTGAGTGGGGCTGATATCAACCCCTAAGCACCTCAGGGCAGGGGGAGCGGGGTCTGCACACCACAGGGTGGGGGGACTCACTGACCCCTGAGGAGGGGTCTGCACACCACAGGGTGGGGGGACTCACTCTCCAAAGTTTATCCTGGAGCTGTTGGCAGCGATGCCCAGCACCTTGGCAGGACCCCCCACCAGCAGAGACCCCCGGATGATGACGGCGATGAAGCCCGAGAGCATGACAAAGACCTGGAAGACGTCGGTCCAGATGACAGCCTTCATCCCACCCTGCGCCAGACAGAGCTGATGGTGACCACTGGGGACCCCCAGGGCCACCGGGACCCCCCCGGGGGCTCGCCCACTCACGATGGTGGTGTAGAAGGTGCAGATGACCCCGGTGGAGAGCAGGGAGGCCCAGATGTCCAGCCCGGTCACTGGAGGGGAAGGGACGGTGCTGAGCAGAGCCCCGGGTGAAATGTCACCTGTGGTGGGACAGGGCCGGGGTGTCCCCAGCGCAGGGACGGGGACAGGGACACGCCGGGGAGCAGCCCCACACACACACACCTTGGTTGAGGATCAGGGCGGGGGCGTAGATGACGATCCCCGTGTAGAGCATCTGCAGGAAGGGGAGAGGGGGGTCAGCACCGCGTCCCACCGGCACCGCGGGGACGGGGACGGAGCGTGACGGCGCTGGGAAAACACTGCGGTTTTCACTCAAAACAGGGCTCCCGCCGGGAGCTGCGCGCTCGGAGCCAGGGAAAACACGAGCACGGGACCCAAGGACGCTCCCCAGGGGCTCAGGGCAGCGCCGGCACGGCCGGGTCCGAGCCCCTCCCCGCATCCCCCCGTCCCCATCCCAGCCCCGCACCGCCGGCACGCACCGTGGCCACCACGTACTGCAGAGTCCCGCAGAGCCGGACGCTCCTGCTGAACCGCCGCTCCAGGTACTGGGCAGGGACAAGGACACGGAGCACGTCGGGGCCATCCCGGCAGCGGGATCCCCGTGTGCCCCCCCAGCCCCCTGCCCACCTCGTAGGTGCTGGTGAGCCCCAGGCGGTAGAAGACGGGCAGGAAGAGCTGGGCGGTGAGCAGGGCGTTGATGAGCTGTGCCATGCACATCCAGAGGAATTTGGCGCCGTACCGGAACGCCTCCGCCGGCACTCCCAGCACCTGGATGGCCGACATGAAGCTGGCGGAGAGCGAGAGCCCCACGGGCAGCGCCGACATGCGCCGGCCCCCCGTGAAAAAGTCCTCCGAGGTTTTCTGGCCGCCCCTGGCGAGGCCGTGGAAGAGCCCGATGCCCGTGGAGACGAGCAGCATCAGCCCGAAGACTCCGTAGTCCCAGAGGCTGAAGGTGAGACGCTCCGGAGCCCGGATCTCCGGGCTCCCCGTCGGGGCCGGCATGGCCGTGGCGAGGGGGGAGCCCCAAACCGGGCAACCACGGGAGGACGGAGACACGGGGACACAGCACCTGCAGGCCGGGACGCGGAGACACCGCTGGAGGGTGAGAAAATTCCTTGGAATTATTGCTCAACACCTCGTGCGGGAAGGAGGGAGCGCGGATTGGGGAGCAGGGCCCTGCCCCGCCCTGTTCCCTTCACACCCGTCCCGGGCCAGGTCTGTGCCAAGGGCTGCGAAGGGCAGAGCTGCACGAGGGACAACCCGAATTTGGCGTGGGAATTACCTCGATACCTCCCGGTCTGCAGCCACGAGAGGCAGCGCCTGGTCCAGCTGCTCCGGGGAAGCGTCGGCACCCAAAGGACACGTCCTGGAGGGAGGGAAGGAGGGGAGGGAGCGACCCCTCCCCAACCGGCCCAAACAAGGAGGGGCAGAGCCTCCGGCAGAGCCAAATTTATCTCCAGCCGAGGGAGGGGGAAAAACAAACCCGAAGGAAACCTTTACCCAGAGAAAAGCAGGTTGTTTGCAGGCAGCTGCCTGCGGAGCGGGACGGACCGGCTGCCGAGGCTGAGGAGCGGAGCGGGGGCTGCCCGGGGGTCCCGGGGGGGCCCGGTGGGTCCCAGAGGCTGCTGCGACGTCCTCGGAGGGCGCGGAGGGAAGGCTGTGCCTCGAGCTGCTCCAGCCCGTGGGGCGGGGGGACGGCGGGAGGCAGGTTCAGGCCGTCGGGGAGGGACCCTCAGTGGGGAGGACGGAGCCGTAGTCGGGGGCCGTGGCCATAACCCCTTCCCTGCCGTGCCCCCGGCTCTGCTCACAGCCCCGGCGGTGCCACCACATCCAGACCCCGGAGGGAGCCGGGCACTGACTCCCGGGAGCACGGGCACAACTCTGGCTCTGGGATTTGACGTGGCACCAGGCGTGGGGCTGGCCCGGCTTCCTCGTTCCCTGGCACAAACACCGCTTTGTCGCGCCTGGCCCTCTGACAGGTTTGGGGATTTCCACCTCTCTGCCCTAAGCCCCAGGGCTGAGGTCAGATTTGGGACTGATTTGGCACATCAGAGCCCTGATGTGGGGACGGAGCTGATGCAGGGGCACAGATTCCTCTGGTGGGTCACCATCGAGGCACGGTCCCCTCCAAGGTGTCACCACTGGGGCACCGTCCCCTCTGAGGCATCACTGAAAGGCCACCATCCCCTCCAAAGCATCACCACAAGGGCACTGTCACCTCTGAGGCACCACCAGGAGGTCACTGTCCCCTCCAAAGCATCATCGTGGGGGTATTGTCCCCTCTGACGTGTCACCACAGGGGCATTGTCACCTCCAAGGTGTCACCACGGGGTCACTGTCACTTCCAAGGTGTCACCAGAGGGGGACCATTCCCTCCGTGGGGCAGAGGAGGGTCCCTGGGCCCTGCCTCCAGCCCTGGTGACACTGTCCCCATCACCTGTCCCCGGGGGCCAGGGCAGGGCAGGATCCCTTCCCTGCCTCGCCCCGGCGGTGCTTCCTCCCCGAGCTGGTTGGAGCAGCTCCAGGGGAAAAACGCCAAGATTTGGCCACATCCTGCAGCAGGTACGTGTGACACCACACGGCACCGGGCCCGGCACACGCCCAGCACCGCGATGGCACCCAGGGCACGACAGGGGAGAGGGGACAGGGCCGTCACTGGGGCACTGAGGGTCCCAGCAAGGGGGTGCAGGATGGGGGCAGGCAGCACCCAGGCCCTCACCCTGGGAAGGGATGTCCTGGGAAGGGATGCCCTGGCAGAGCATCACCTACCCCTGTGGTACCCACAGCACCAGGACAGGGGTCTATTGGGGTGCCCGGGGTGTGCCCAGGCTCCCTGCCCATCACTCCACCCCGTCCCTGCACCCTGGGGTGTCGCCCCTGGTCCCCCCTCCCCTGCCAGGAAGCCACGTGCCAGGGAGGCCTCGGGCAGGAAGGAAGTCACCCGGGGGACTTTTTGCCTCTCTCCTTCACTCGCAGCCACCTACGCACCTCCAGAGCCCCGGCCTGGCGGCACACCCTGCCCGGGACCCCTCCTGGGCACGGCAGAGGTACCACACGGGCACGGGGGGCTCAGGGGGATGGAGCCGAGCCCTCCCTGCAGGATGGGGCAGAGCAGGAGCGGCCGTGGGACAGGGTGGGAGGGGGGTTATCCCACCTCAGGACTCAGCTTCCCCTTCGTCCCTCCCAGGAGGGGCCGATCCCAGCCCCGGGGGTGCCGCGGGTTCGATCGCGGGGTTTAACCCCGGGGAGGATGAGGAGGGAAAGGCAGGGAAGGGGAGCTGTGGGGCCGGGGTGTCACTCTGAGCCCCCCTTTTCCCCCTCAGCGCCCGCCATGGCCCCGCTGGGCGAGGACACGCCGCTGATCGGGGGCCGCTCCTGCAGCCTCTCCTCGGCCGAGCCCGGCAAGACCGGCACCCTGCGGGTGCTCCTGTACCCCCGGGCACCCACCCCACGCAGCCCCCCCGGCGCCCTCACCTTCAGCTGCGGCGAGTTCACGGCCGAGGAGCTCTGTGTGCGCGCGGCCAAGGCCTGCGGTGAGCCCGGGGTGCCAACCCTGGGGCTGGGCAGCAGCTCAGGGTGCCCACTGTGGGGCTGGGCAGCAGCTCGGGGTGCCATCCATGGGGCTGGGCAGCAGCTCGGGGTGCCCACTGTGGGGCTGGGCAGCAGCTCGGGGTGCCATCCATGGGGCTGGGCAGCAGCTCGGGGTGCCCACTATGGGGCTGGGCAGCAGCTCGGGGTGCCAACCCTGGGGCTGGGCAGCAGCTCGAGGTGCCATCCATGGGGCTGGGCAGCAGCTCGGGGTGCCATCCTTGGGGCTGGGCAGCAGCTCGGGGTGCCCACTGTGGGGCTGGGCAGCAGCTCGGGGTGCTGACCGTGGGGCTGGGCAGCAGCTCGGGGTGCCGACTGTGGGGCTGGGCAGCCAGCCACGGGCACGGGATCCTGGCTGTGGGCTCAGGTTACTGGCCATGGGCTCTGGTTCGGGGCTGTGGGCTCAGGGTACTGGCCGTGGGATGGTGGTCCCAGCCCTGGGATGGTGGCCCCGTGCCCGTCCTGGCTGGGGGTCCCAGCCCCACCCTCCGCCCCCAGGCGTGCTGCCCGTGTGCCACCCGCTCTTTGCCCTGGCCACGGAGGATCTGAGCTGCTGGTTCCCCCCCAACCACCTCTTCACCGTGGACGAGTCCAGCAGCCAGGTCGTGGTGTACAGGATCAGGTACAGCCCCAGCACGGCCCCCTGGGACCCTCTGGTGGGTTCTGTGCTCCGGGGGACGCGGTGCTGAGACCCCCCCACCGGCCCCGTCAGGTTCTTCTTCCCCAACTGGTGTGGGCTGGGACAGTCCCACCGCTTCCAGCTGCTGAATGACCGGGCCAGCCCCGTCCTGGACTACCCTGTCATCGATTACCTGTTCGCCCAGGTGAGCCCTGTCAGGTGGCACCTCTGTCTCCGACTCCTGGTACCACAGGTGGGGTCCTGTGTGGCTTCTCAGGTGTGTGGTACGTGTTGACCTCAGTGCAGTGATGCCTTCATCACCCTGGGCAGTGCCATCCTCCTCCTCCTCCTCCAGCACCCACAGGTCCCTGCAGGATGTGAATCCTCTTACCTGGCTCACCTGGAGCTGCTCGTGGGGCACCCCAGGTTGCTGACATGGGGGTCACTGTGTCCCCTGGGTGGTCCCTGCCCCAGGGACAGAGCTGGGGAAGCAGCAGGAAACCAGAGCCCAGGGTGGGATGTGACTCACACGGGCACTGGGACAGGGGGACAGTGTGTGGTGCCACAGACTGGGGGTCCTGTGGTGCCTCAGGTGCCCTGGCACTGCAGGAGGTGGGAGAACCCCCCCAAACCCTCGTGTTCCCCCCAGTCCCGCAGTGACTTCGTCGAGGGCCGCGTGGCCGTGGGGCTGAGCCTGCCCACGCAGGAGGAGTGCCTGGGCCTGGCCCTGCTGGACATGCTGCGCATCGCCAAGGAGGAGAGGCAGAGCCCCGACCAGGTCTGCAGCCACGTCAGGTGAGCTGGGGGCACAGTGGGGCACTCACGGGACAGCCTGGCAACCACTGGGACAGCCTGGCATCCATGGGGACAGCCTGGCATCCACTGGGACAGCCTGGCACCTCTGGGTACAGTGACACCCATGGGGAGAGCCTGGCATCCATGGGGACAGTCCAACACCCACGGGGAACACCTGGCATCCCTGGGGAACACCTGGCATCCTTGGGGAACACCTGGCATCCCTGAGGACACCCCGTCACCCGCCTGTGCCTCCCGTCCCCGGCAGCTACAAGTCCTGCATCCCGGAGCCGCTGCGGAGCCAGATCCAGCAGCACAACTTCCTCACCCGCAAGCGCATCCGGCGCCGCTTCAGCAAATCCCTGCGGAAGCTCGGGGGCTGCCAGACCGACGGACCCCACCTGAAGCTCAAGTACCTGCTGGACCTGGAGCGGCTGCAGCGCCGCCGGGCCGAGGAGAGTTTCCGTGTCCGCTCCCCCGGGTCCCCCGCGGGCATCACCATCCACGTGGCCGGGGAGAGCGGCGTGTCCTGGAGCTGCGGCGGCTCCGAGGTGCCGGGGTGGAGCGGGGGGGCTGCGGCGGGGGTCCCGCGGTGGGATGGGGTGGGGGGACGCGGCTGTCACGCCGCCTGTCACCCCGCAGAACCGCCAGCACTTCTGCGACTTCCCCGACATCGCCGACATCAGCATCAAGCAGGCGGGCGGGGAGGGCGGCCCCGCGGAGACCCGGCTCGTCACCCTCACCAAGGCGGACAACCGCGTGCTGGTGAGCCGCGGGGGTGGGCTGGGGAGCCCCCCGGGGGGCTGGGGGGCTGGGGAGCTGACCCCCTCCTCCCCACCCTGCCCCAGGAGGTGGAGTTCCCCACGCTGCGGGAGGCTCGTTCCTTCGTGGCTCTCATCGACGGCTACTACCGCCTGACGGCGGACGCCCAGCACTACTTCTGCAAGGAGGTGGCCCCCCCCCGGCTCCTGGAGGACGTGGAGAACCAGTGCCACGGGCCCATCAGGTGGGTGCCGGGACCCCCCCTCGCCAACCCCAACCCGCAGGTGACAGGGGAAGGGGTCACCCGGGGGGAGCCACGGGGGCGGGGGGGACCGGCCCCCAGCCCCCTCACTGAGGAGGGGGGGACACGGCGGGGAGGGGGGGGCAGTGGGGGTCCCGGGGGGGGGTCCCCGAGCGAGGTCCACCCCCAGCCCTGCCTTTCACAGCGCCGAGTTCGCCGTGACCAAGCTGAAGGCGGCCGGGAGCCCCCCGGGGCTGTACCTGCTGCGCCGCAGCCCCCAGGACTTCGACAGTTACCTGCTGACCGTCTGCGTCCAGGTGAGACCCCCCCTGCACCGGGGGCTCCGGGGGTCCGGGGCAGTGGGGGTCCCGTCACCGGGAGAGAGGGAAACACCGACCTGGTGCCTGCTGGGACGGTGCCACCCGCGGTGGGACGGGCACAGCCCCGGGGCTGCCGCAGGCACCAACAGGGCAGGAGGGGTTTGGGGGGCTCTGGGGGGGGTCCCCACTCTGCTGATCCCGACTGATCCCCCCACAGACCCGCTCCGGGCAGGACTACAGGCGGTGCCAGATCCGCAGGGACGAGGAGGGACACTTCTGGCTGTCGGGGGTGTCGCGGAGGTTCTGCAGCCTGCGGGAGCTGCTGGGCACCTACGGGCACCGGGGGCTGCAGGCAGAGGGGGCCCGGATGCACCTGGGGGCCTGCTGCCCACCCCGCCCCAAAGGTGACACGGGGGACGTCGCAGAGAGGGTGCTGTGAGGTCACAGATTGGGCTGTGACATCACAGAGCGGGCTGGGAGGTCCCAGGGCGACCCATGACATCATAGAGGGGATGGTGTGACAGCACACAGCTGCTGTGGGACACCGAAAAGTGAGTTGTGTGAGGTCACAGAGCGGGCTGTGACATCATAGAGGGGGGCTGTGTGACATCACAGGGTAGGCTGTGTGATGTCACAGAGCAGGCTGTGAGGTCACAGGCCAGACCATGATGTCACAGCGGGACCTGTGTGATCTCATAGCTGCTGTGTGACATCACAGAGCAGGCTGTGTGATGTCACAGGATGGACCATGACATCACAGGGGGGCCTGTGTGACCTCACAGCTGCTGTGTGACATCACAGAGAAGCCGTGTGACGTCACAGAGCAGCTGTGTGAGGTCACCAGGGGGGTGCCCCCTGCCCTGACCCCCCTCACGGCCTGTCCCCCCCCCAGAGAAGTCCAACCTGCTGATCGTTCGGAGCGGGGCCCCCCCGCCCCCCGGCTCCCCCCCGGCCCCCCGGCGCCGCAGCCTCCACCAGATGATGTTCCACAAGATCGACCCCCAGAGCCTGACACGGGTACGGGGGGCCCAGGGCGGTGGGTCGGGGGGGGCACAGGGACAGGGACCCCCAGGACCATCCCCCTGTCCCGGCAGGGCGAGAGCCTCGGCCAGGGCTCCTTCACCCAGATCTACAAGGGCGTCAAGCGGGACCAGGAGGAGCAGGAGGAGGGGGACGGGCCCCGCCAGACCACCGTGGTGCTCAAGGTCATGGACAGCAGCCACCGCAACTGCTCCGAGGTGAGGGGGGGCACCGGGGGATGGGGGGTGTCCCCAGGAGCCCCCCCTGAGCCGCCTGTCCCGCTCCCAGTCCTTCCTGGAGGCAGCCAGCACCATGAGCCAGCTCTCCCACAAGCACCTGGTCCTGCTGCACGGCGTCAGCCTCGGGAAGGACAGTGAGTGTCCGGGGGAGCACAGGGAGTGCCCGGGGGGAGCACAGGGAGTGCCCAGGGGGGCACAGGGAGTGCTCAGGGGGCACAGGGAGTGCCTGGGGGGAGCACAGGGAGTGCCCGGGGGAGCACAGGGAGTGCTCAGGGGGCACAGGGAGTGCCTGGGGGGAGCACAGGGAGTGCCCGGGGGAGCACAGGGAGTGCTCAGGGGGCACAGGGAGTGCCTGGGGGGAGCACAGGG